ACTTGGTCCTTGGTCATCTTCTTCTTGTTATTACTATTATTTTTGAGTGTATGTATCTGTCTTTGCCCACTAGACTTTCTGGAAGTCAGGTTTCTTATAACTCCTATCACAGTCATTTTCTGTAGTGGTGTGGCGGACAATTATTGGGTTGTGTGGTGGACAATTATTGGATCATCTTCCCAGCTAAGGAGGCCCCTTCCACAGTAATGCCCCTCTCTGCAATCTAAGAATAGCCCCAGGTCTATATGGGCGGACTGCTACCATCTATGTCCTAATGAGTGTCCCTACAACAAACTGAGTCACTTTGAGTGGCAACCGGAACTTGACTGGTGAAAAAAATTTTGTCCCTCTCTAGGGGGCCTGTATAGAAACAAAAATATGATCAGTGGTCATGTTTCATGTTTCCTGGGTGTGAGTGGGAGAAATAGAAGGAGCTGGTCTGCATGGGAGGCAGAGGGGGAAGAATGAAGCCAGTTCAGAGAAAGGCAGAAGATGAGCATTCCAGACAGAATTTCAGGAAATCTCCACAACTTTCTGGTTTCAGACAGAAGTCCTTGAGGCACAGGGGTATTGTTAGCCTGTGGTTCTATAATAAATGAAATCCTATTTTTTGTATTCCTCAACTCTAGTGAGCTCAAACAATCTAATATAAATTATGTTTGACTATGGTATTGATAATGATGACTGTGATGTCTGTTTGAGTGAATATCCAACATGGTGGTTTATTTGCCATCTCAGAAAATGGTGAACTGGAGATGGGGGAATCATGCCCTGTAATGCTTTACCCTAAGCCAATAATATTTCCCAAAGTGAAGTCTTCAGACCACCTGCATCAAAGTCACCTGAAGTGAATTTTTAACATGGAGATTCCTGGATGCCACTGTTAACCTACCAAACCAGCATTTCTGGGTTGGGCCCAGGAGTCTGCATTTTAAGTAGATTTCCAAATGATTCTCAGGCACGTCAAAGACTGAGATCTTTAGACTTTATTTGGCAAGATCTTGGGGGTACCTCAGAAGAAAGGCCTGGCAATCTACTTCTGAAAAATCAGCCATCAGAAACCCTACAGAGCATAGTTCTACTCTGACACATAGGAGTCACCATGAGTTGGAATCGACTCAACAGCAAGTGGCAGTTTATGCAACAGAAGCACACCAAACATACTATTCTGGTTTAGTCTAAATATTCCCCAGCCTAATGCACTGACTTTGACAGCTTTACTAACTTAAAGGGAGAATATTTATTCCCTGCAATCTGGATGCCATCCTCAAATTCTGACTATTTACATTGTAGTAAGCCTTTGCATTCTCACATCAGTAGATGAAAATCTAAAATGTTTGTAAAGATCTTCAGAGACGAGGGTTACACTCATTTCTCAGTCTCCTTCTTTGAGTTGTCACTGAATCCAACGTGTGAGTCTAATTTCCTTTACAGTGAAGTCTCTTCTATGATCTAATAACACTGAACTACCATTGAAACTCATTTCCTCCTACTCTGACCTCAGGACCAGCATAAATAGCATTCATGCCTTTGACTTGTGTTTTAGTCTTAGAATCAGAGTGACAAATTTAACTTTGTACATTTCGAGAGATCGGAGTAAACATTAATTCGCAGTGATTATGCTGAAATAATTAGGTGTTTAAAAGTAATAGAAGTCTTCTTTCCTTCATTTTCTCCACTGAGAAAAGAAAAATTGATTCCAGTTCATACAGAAAATAACCACTTGCCTGTGATTTGATTCTGACTCATGGCAACCCCATGTCTGCCAGAGTAGAACTACATTCCATAGGGTTTCCTTTTTTAACTATGGTAAAGATATACATAACCCAATATTTACCAATTCAACCATTCTTACAGGTATAAGTCAGTGACATTGATTACATTCATCATATTGTGTAACCATGACCACTACGCTTTTCCCAGTCATACTACCACCATTAACATTAGTTCAGGGCCCTCCATAGAGTTTTCAGTGGTTGATTTTTTTGGAAGTAGATCAACAGGCCTTTCTTTGGATATGGAAGATAGTAAGTAAAAAATGAAAATCTTCAAAGGCTTGCTCTGTTGCCTAGAATATTACGTAGAGAACTTAATCCTGTTATCACAGATGAATACAATACTTAAATATCTCCTTCATGGCTGTTAAGGCACAGTAGAGTCAATTCATGCCCAGGGAGCTTGGATCACAGATCACGGCCATGATAAACGACAGAGTCAGTGTAGGCTATCATGTCAACGGCCACTGGGGGAGATTTTAATGCCGGCCTCGCCAGCACACCATTCATAACTACTTTCAAGGAGCACTTCTGATCTAATGGCTAAATGAATATCATTAGAGTATCTTCACATAGCATTTCTTGAGAAATTCCATATTTTAAGGAGGCTATTTATTATATTCAACGGATACAACTGAGATTTCTTCATTCAGTGACTGCTTGAGTGACGCAAATACAGTTCAAAGTTATACTACTGGAGTGGGAATTAAAGGTTTACTAGCAAGGCAATGAAGAAAATATCACATTGTGACAATAATAGTAATAAAGAGCAGACTGGGAAAGAGGAACCTATCTGGTTGGTGAAAACCAAAAAAAAACCAAACCTGTTGCCATCGAGTCGATTCCAACTCCTAGCGACCCTATGGAACAGAGTAGAACTGCCCCATAGGGTTTCCAAGGAGCAGCTGGTGGATTTGAACTGCCAACCTTTTGTTTAAAAGGCTTGGCTCTTAACCACTGTGCCACCAAGACTCCGGATGGTGAAAAGTGACACTTAACTAAGAGTTAGGTGATGTTGCCTCAGATGGCATTCATCGTATGCCTTTTGTCTCTTCTAAAATTCAACCTGCAACCTCAAGCCCCATCTCAGAAACTACAGAAACTGCTTTAAAAGATGCTATATAAATTTAATAAGAGCCATTAAGATCAAGGGAGCCCTGGTGGCACAATGGTTAAGACCTTGGCTGCTAAGCAAAAAGTCTATAGTTCAAATCCACCAGCCGCTCCTTGGAAACCCTACGTGGCAGTTCTACGGGTTTGGTTTGGTTTATCAAGATCAAGAGGAAGAACAGGGAAGAAATAAGATGCAGATCATTTCAGAAAATAAGCCAATTCACAATCCAACGTGAATTTCACAAACTCGAAAATGTTCTCCTGAATGCTTGAAACAGAATAAAGGAAAACATAACATAACCAACCAACAAGAAAACACGGAAACAAAACCTCCTTTGTGTTCTATGAAATATTTGACAAAGGTGTCGGAGCATGCCAATTGAATAAAAGGCTGTCTAGCTCCTGAAGATGAGTGTGTACAGGGCCACAGACCTACCTGATTTGCTTAGCCATTACAGTAATTTACAATAATCTAAATTTGAATATTTGAAGATTTTAGAAAGGCGATGCAGATATACAGATTGCAAGGGTCCCAAAGCTCCATATTATTTTACATGGAGCTTCTTATATATGCCACCCCTCTAACCACTTGAACTTGGGGCTCCTCTTAGTCATTATTAAAGAACTTTACAGGGCAGATGTTAGAACTGGTTGGTACTGAGCTCATCTGGTCCAACCTCCCCTTCTTAATGCCGATACATCAGACAGGTCAAAGGATGCGTTTTAAAAGGTCCCATTAACTAAATCAATAGAAGCCCTTTACAGTAGAATTTGGGTTGCTCAGGTACCCTACAACCTTCTATTCTTTGGTACACCTGTAAGATTTTAGATGGACATTTTAATCTTATGCTAAATTAAGCTGGATTACAAGAATAATAAAGATCTGGTTATCGATAATTCATGAATTGGCTTCACTATGGATAACTGTTGCTAGGGAATACCAGAAACATCCAGTCTTACAACTTTCTGCTTCATAAGTGCCACAATATCCAAACATACACACACAGACAGGCTTATTATTCACCATCATCGAGAATTCACGTAGATCCTCCTTAAGTATTCTGGTATTTTAAGATACAATTAAGTTCATCATTCCTTCAAAAACAGGCAACTTTCTGGGAATACATTAAAAACAAAAATACCCAAACCTGTTGCTATCAAGTTGATTCTGACTCATAGTGACCCTATAGGAGTACGAGTAGAACTGCCTTATAGGGTTTCCTAAAGCTATAAATCTTTATGGAAGCAGACTGCCATATCTTTCTCTCATGGAGTGGCTAGTGGGTTCAAACTGCTCATCTTTCCCAGTTAGTAGCCAAGCTCTGAACCACGGTACCACCAGGGCTCCCTTGGGAATACATTACTATTTTAGTATTAGCCCTAGTTATTATTTTAGACTATTTTATTTTATTTTAGAAAACCATACCCATGTGCTAAATATTAAAAGAGTTTTCAGGTCATGTAAAACTGACTAAGAGTACTGAGAAATCTGCTTCTGCCCTGAGATCTCTCTTTTTTCAGTGAGGATTCTCACTTGTGAACCAGTATAATTGGGACCAATCTGGTATACTATGAAGGTTATAAATTCAGTATATTCTTGAAATTAAACCACAAAAAATAAATCAACCTCATTACATAACATTGAAAAAATGTAGAATATTCAACAACTCTTAAAAATGCAACTACTATACATTGTACAGAGACTTAAGTTGACTATTCAGCATAATATTTGTAAACCTCTTTCTGCATCATGTTTAAAGAGAAAAGCACCGATTAAGTTAATTTTCAAGAATATGGTCAAAAAGAAAGGGAAGGCAACTCTTGAAATTACTGTCAAGAACAGCACATTGATCACAAAAAAAGACCAGACTTACTCACCTGACAGAGATTGGAGAAAGCCCGTGAGTATGGCCCCCCAACACCCTTTTAAC